TTTCTTGCAGTTTCACTACTCGACCACGCTGGAATGCGCCTTGCCACAGTTCAAGCAGTTGGTGAGGACCTGGACAAAGATATTGAGAAAGAATCATGTTATATATATATATATATATACCCTCTGGTTATGACTAACATAGCCATGGAAAATGGCCCATTTGTAGATGGTTTACCTATTAAAAATGGGTGGGTCTTTCCATGGCTTTGTTAAATAATCAGAGAGTATATATATTTATACTAATATCATTTAATATTATCATTATTATTCTGTGCTATTAAGAGGGGACATGTACGTACCATGCAACGCATCGTGAATTCAATATGTCAGAGTGATATTCTGATATGTGACCTGTTTTTCATGATTTCTATTGAAAAGGGTTCTCATTGTATCTTGGCTTCGCACACCTTCTTGGGGATGAAAAAGGCATGCAGTGCACTGGCACCTGCGAACCCAAGATGAGATGAGGACCCGTTGCACGCCTGAAGGCCGGTTTTAATCAACATCTTGTTTCAGGTCAGCAAGTCAACAATATCCTATTGATTACATGGCACGTGCATTCCTTTTTGGCAACATCTTCCTACACATTGGGTAGATCATGGCCCATTTCCACTGGAGGTAAAAAGCTCCTGGAACGGATCGTAACCAGTGCGTCTGGCTCGGCGGTTGAGCTGACTGAAGAGTGGACAGGGTACCCAAATGGCCGCCATGTCGCACTCGGACAAAGAAACTGAACGCGAAGCATCGCAAGTAAAGCACCAGCCACCGGTCTGGTCATGGCAGCAATCACTCAAAAAATGTTCCCCTCAGACACGGGAGCAGCTGCCAGGACATGCGCAGATTCACAGACCTGACCTATTTACATCAATGAGTCAATGATGTACTCACAAGTCATGGTTTGGACCCATTTAGTCACAGATGTTTTGAGTACATGTTTTGAAACCCTTTCCCAGAAATAAGTTATTGATATTGATGGGATATTAGTGGATGTTAATGGATTTACCCTCCGTCATCAAACGTGGCAGCTGGGAAATCCCCGAACTAAATTGGAGGTTTAAAATGGGAAAATCATCTATACATGACGGATTTTCCATTGCCATTGGTTACCGGAAGGTATATGTATATCTAGCAACCCCAAACAAATGCAGAAAAATTACATGCAATCCTGAGCACGTGGTAAATTTCACTTCTTCCTTTGTGTGGGTTACTATAAGTTGCACCAAACAACACATAGAACCATTGCCTTTGACTGATAGAGCTTGGTGACATTCGATCTGATTGATCTGAATACATATATATATATAATGACAAGTGGTAACCTGTTATGAGCACCAACCGCCACCAAAGAATGTTAGATCCTGCTTGCCGCCTGCACCACACACATACACATACACATATATATATATATACATATGTATGCATACAATCCAGGATTGCAAATTTGTAGGTGTATATATAATTATAGATATATAACTATATAATATACTACAATACAGTGCATGAGTTTGTCCACAAAACAAAGTACCCGGCAACTGCATGATGATTGAACATCGTTCTCCCTATTCGGGATAATTGTCTTATGCCCGTTATGCCCTAGTTTGGACCTAGGTATCGGAGTTTAAACAAGGATGGAGCTGGAATACCCCAAAGTCATTGCCAGTAGGGATTTATATATATATATAGTTTTATATCTACACATTCCATTTTTGAAATCTCCAGTATTGTTGGAAAAACATAGCTTGTCCCTCAGTCTTCTTCTAGATTCTAGAGGCTGGCTTTGATTTTTCTACTGGGCGTGTGTTCACCCGCAGCCAGAAGACCGACCCAACAATAAACCTACATAAACCTACCGTGTGGGATGGACCTCACTACCCACTTATTTCTGGTAATGTGGGGGATGGTTTATTCTTTGGTGTACCACATTACATCCCATTCATTATGTCCCACTATATCCCATTACATCCCGATGTATCACATTATATTATATATATATATCCCTTTACAACCCTCGAAACCCAATTGATGGCTGGTTAAATCCACATCTTTGCTAGTCAAAGCATGTTAAGTCCCAAATTTGACAATAACCCCTTACTATATCTGGTTGGTGATTTGAACCCCTCTGAAAAATATGAAAGTCAAATGAGAGTATGACATTCCCATATAATTATATATGTGGAAAGTCATAACATTCATGTTCCAAACCACCAACCAGATATACATCATATTCCCATGGTTGTTGGTTTATAGCCTACTATTAACCACGGTAAAAACCATCACTATTAACCAACCAGATATTCATTATAAACTATTATATTCATTACCTAGTTCCATTATTGATTGTGATACCCCATTAGATCCCATTAAAAACACCATGAGATTCATGTTCATCTCCCCAAAATAATGTCGCCAAAGGATACACAGCCAGCAGCAATGAAGTTGGAAACTGCCTTGTGTCTACCGCTAGAGGCGTCCACCACCATCAGCCGCTTGTCTCCCTGGGAGGTTGGATATAAAGTGGTGTCATGTACCCTAGGAAAATGCAGGTAAATTATAGGAAAACCATAGGAAAACCATAGGAAAATGGTGAAAAATGGTAGATGTCCCTAGGAAAATGCTGGTAAACTATAGGAAAACCATAGGACGATGGTGATTTAACCACTAGGAAAATGGTGATTGTTGAAGAATGGGTGAAAAAAGTGGTGAACTTCATGGGATGATATCGGATTTTTTGACCTCTGGTAAACAAACATAGCTATTGAAAATGGCCATTTAGTTCGTTGATTTACCCATTCAAAATGGTGATTTTCCATAGTTTTTTGTAAACGTTTACCAGAGGGTATAATAAGGTGGTGTCCGAAAAGGAGGTATACCCCTCAAAAATGATTCTAATAAGGAAGATAATGATAAAACACTGGGTTCTGGGATACCCTATTTTCAGACAAAGCCACCTATACATACCTATACAATCTTATACATACGTACGGGAATGGCTCAAAATCGAATACTCATAAAATCTCCCGACGATGAATAGGGTATTACCACGCATAAATAGTTAAATATGGTTAAATAAGTATGGTTAAATATGGTTACCCAATCGAATACTTAAATATGGTTAAATACCACACATAACCACTTCTGTGAGTCCCCGGGTACACCATGTAGCATGCCGTAGCCAAACATAGTGACCAGCTGCAGGGTTGGGGTTGTGATAGATACAGAGATATACACCTGTATCTAGACTTTGTTGGAACACATAAGAGCAAACATTAATATATATATATATATAATTAAATATAATTATATATAATTATAAATACTTATGTATATATTATATATGTATAATATTGTATAATATTCATAAACTGAGAAGCAGCAGTTTCTATGGAGATATAATCATGTGTACTCTGCCTAGGCAAACATAAGCATCACACAAAGTGGAAGTATTTTGCATGCATTCCTTTGTGCGAGTTAAGGAACAACTGAAAACAACCTCGGAAGGTCTGAGTATGTGTTTATTGCAGATATACATACCATCATTACGTGGTGCCTACCAGTCACATTTGTTTTTTAATAAAGCCGTCTGACTATGATTGCTGGCTACAAACTAACTTCAATACCTGAGGATATCTGAGGAACCCCACCTTGTAGGTTGCTGCCATGATACTCTGACTCTGATCATGAAAGAAAAAATAAAGTTGGGGCACCGTAGCGAAGTACAAATGGCCGGATTAGGCGAAAATTTAAATCAGGAAGCGCTGATTCCAGGACGCAAAGACACACACAAACATTGTGCATTTAAGCATTCACAATGATATCTTTAAGAACCTGCTACGGTCTTACATTGTCATTCATTATCACCAAGCTTCATATGAGCAGTGTCATTTTATTTGACATGGGATTCCCAGTTCCTGCAATCCCCAGTACATCGAGGCTAGTATAGCCTCCCCTGTAATCATCAATCAACATCATCGACCAACCATAGTTCATAGTTTACTATAGTTTGCTGTATATCGTTAAGTGTTGTGATCAGTAGCAAGTGAAAACAATACTAAACAATACTGGAAAGACGCTTTCCAAAGCGAGACAAGTTGACTGCTCAAGGATGCTCAACAATTTGTTCCAGCACCTCCATTTGTGATGCTTGTCGCTGCTGATGGCAGCCAAGACCTTCGTGAAGATCTCTGTCGGGTCATTGCCCGAACGGCGCTCTGAAGGTGTCATTTTGCATCAATCACCTATTTTTCACGGTCAGAGCCCCATGGAAATGGGCCAGCACTGAACTGGGTCTTCGGCCCGTTCGGGAGGTAAGTTGCCTCAGGCCGCACGATTGCATGGATCGCAGGAGCTTGTGCCTGCATGACACGGAGGCCACGCCTGTCGCCGAGCCTTGCTATGCCAATGACGGCTGGGTTTGTCTGTTTCATGTGGGCAAGCTCGCTGAAGGTCATTCTGGGAGCCCATACTACAACGTATTCATCCAAAACCTGTTTTCCATCCGGGGTTCTTGGCTCCATATATGATCCAGCATGACCACTCCTAGCCAACAGGGATGGAAGGATGGCAGCAGGGACCCTCAAGCACACAGAGAAAATGGCCGACTTGGCTGCAGCAACAGGTCGAAAAGTGGGAGATTTTTGACGAGAATTGGTCAATCAATGTCAATCATCAACCACCTATTTTTGAAGAGAATCAGAAAAAAATGGTCAATTTTTCATTTGAATTCATTTGATGTCTAAATGGCATCCTGGATATATCATCTGGGAAAAAGCTCACTGACATCACTGGTGCAAACCTCAATGCCATCATGGCAGGGGAACACCAAACTAAACCGGGATCTTTTTCCAGCAAACATGTTTGCTTGCCCGACAGTATATCCCAATATATCCCAATATATCCCATTGAATCCCAATTAAAATCATTAAATTCCCTTAAACCTCACTAAATCCCACTAAATCTCAGTACTAAAATATGATTACATTCACCCAGATCCGCTGTTTCGCCTCTTGCCGTGGAAGGAAGGGCATGTCCATGGTCGGCTGCTCACGGTGTTCCCTTTCCTTCTTCTCGGCACCTGTGAACATCGGTGCATTTCAGGGGATTCAGGGGAGTACTTGGGGTGATTCTGGAAATGTGATCCTACAACAGTGACCTCGTGGGATTTCATAGGATATCATGGGGATATGGTGCACTTCCAATGACTATTACGGCTTAAACTGGCTGTAAATTTTAACTCCACATCAGGATACAGGGCCCATAGGGGCCCTATGGTGAGTCATATCTCCACTCATCCCACTAACATTGGGGAGATGATGATGGTGACCACGCCGAAATATGGCAAACAATCTGGTGATCTGACCTGGAAGAATGAAGAATATCCATATCCACACATATCCAATTAAAACCCATTTGTTTTCGTTTATTTCCATTTACATCCATGTGTTTATTCTATCAAGAATGGAGGTTATAGATGGTTATTGCCCCTTGTCACTGTAGTTTCAAGGGTGAAAAACGGTGATTAACATTTTTTTAACTACAGTGCCAAATTCATTCAAGCCGACCTTTATCAAAGCGAACCTTTGGGACATTTTGGAACATGATGCATCTGATGCACTGCAATGCAGCTTCACTGGGTAGCAGAAAAGATGAAAAAGGAGTGGTATTTTCTGTCACTACACAAGATTGTTCTGGGAAAAATGTCAATAATCATCTTTGGTCTCCGGTGGAACAGTTTATAATTGCCCGGGATTCAGTTGATCTTGAAGTGCAGCGCCTTGCGCATATGTTGCAGTCATCCCAAATCCCTGCGATTACCGTGGTGAATTACCGTGGTGAACTACTCGGCGATTTCTGGGGTTATTCATTCCGTTTATCATATTATAATACTACAAGTTACTTGCCACTTACTAAGTGGGATGATATCCCAGTATGAATAGGTCAGAATTTCACTGGTGCAACGCAAATTTCATCCCATGTTTCAAAACCTTGTTTCCATCATCAATACGGCCAGTGTGTATCATGTGTACACCCCTTATTTGAGACAAGGCAAGTACATCGCAACTATCCCGGGCGGCCACCATTCGCTTCAAGCGAAGGGGTCCGCCGAAGGCGCGGCTCAAAAGCGACAGCACAATTTTTGCTGTGCATCGGACCGGCATCTTCCCAAAATGGCCACCCCCCTGCAGCAAGTCTCCAAACTTTTCTCCAAGATAGGAGCCTGCCACTGCCCCCAGCCTCAAATTGTTTGGCAAAAACAGCGTTCCCAACCAGCGCTTCACTCGATCATCCAAAGCTTAGCGGCTTAGCGCTTCACTCGATCATCCAAGTTGCCATACCTACGGTGCTGATGGACTTGGGTGGGCGGTTGTGAGCCACTTGCTGTAAGGAAGCGACGATGCCTTCCACATCCCGGGCGGCCACCATTCGCTTCAAGCGAAGGGTGGGTTGATATCCCAATACATACCTCATACCTACGTATGTTGCCCGATGTTGTCAAAATGACAAGGCCGTAATTCCACCAACCTTTTGAGAAATCATTGGATCAAAAATCTGGTGGTGAACACCGAAATAGCTGGTAAATGGACCCATTTTTTGGTATTACATGTCTTGGCGCATTCCCATATATCCATTATACCCCCATGTTGGCAGCAAAACTGATTTCACAGAACACTTGAGAAATCATATGAGTATGGAGACAAAAGCAGGTGGCCCAAAAATTGAATGCTTAATACTAAACATAGGACTAAAAATTCTGCAACCCTGGATCTTAAAGTTTGACACATTTTGACCCATGTCGATATCGCACTGTTATCCTCCAGCCATCCAGCTGCTGAAAATGGCACCTTTGGAAACCCCTTTGCTTTTCTCTCGATCCTGCAGCTGAGATCACATGGTGTGCCAAACTTTGTCCTTGACAGTATCACTGGAATAAAACAGCAATGTATGGCAATGAATATGGGCAAAGCGATTTTAAGCATTGCTGATTCCCATTCGTGAAAATGTTGGCATTGTTTGGTTTAATGATGCTTCGCCTTACTGGCAAGTGGCCTTCATTAATGGTCACCTCGCACGTTTTCTTTAGTTGTTTAAGTCATGGATCCCAATTTAATCCTATTCAGGGAACAAACTGAAGTATTAAACTACCTCTGGTTATTTAACGTAGCCATGGTATAGATGGCCCATAGAAATAGATGGTTTACCTATTAATAGCATGGTGATCTTCCATGGCAAACTGTGAATGTCATAACCAGATGGTACCTATCGGAGGTTACCCCAGAATATGTTCACAACATTTACCCCGGATTTTTGGAACCAGATGGTTAGTATATACCCCAAATGTTAGTATACCCATGGTACCTACCAGATGGTTCTCAACATTTTGGAACCAGGATTTGCTGTTCACCAGCATCTCCTCAAGTGAAGAAACCGTCAGAGGATTTGCCGTGCACCATCGTTAGCTGCATAGCTGCAGTGGAGGATACCCCAAAATTGTTTTGTTTGTTTCTTTCGTGAAGACATGTCAACATTCTGATATGTTCGGGTTATCATATGTGTCAATATTTGAAATACACCCTTTACATTTTTGCATCTATAGATGCCATTAGATGCCCATCACAATGATCATTGACCGGGGGGATGTTTTTAATGCCATGACCAGAGGGTGTTCCACCATGAGATTTGGAGCTTTCCTCAACTTTACGCAGTACCATGGTCAATGGCCATTCCAGGATCCTAAATTGGAGGTACCTACCATATATAAGCTTTTTTTGAGGCCTAAATTTCAGGGGATATACACTCAAAATATGGGCTTACCCATAGGATCCATGGTGCTGCTATATATGGTAACATGGCCATCAATATACCCAAAATGTTAGTATATATACCAGCACCATGGATCCTATGGGTAATGGGATAACAATAGTTAATAACGGTTCATAAAGGCTAATCATGGTTAATAATGGTTGAAAAATATATCCATAGTCAGTTGGTAGTACTATTCACAATACATGACAGTACCCTATTTTTCCCCGCCTTTTTAACTTGCTGTGTGACACCGGCACGGCAAGTCAAATGCCAAAATCCCACCGAATCTTCGTTAGATGCACAGCGGAACGGATTATATAGATTCGATCCTGTTGAAACCATCCGTGAAACTGCTGTTCTTTAGCAGTTTCTATCCATTTACCCTCTGGTAAACTAACATAGCTGTTGAAAATCACCATTTTTTCTGGGTAAATCAACGAACTAAATGGCCATGTTCAATAGCTATGTTAAATTACCAGAGGATACTACTGGTTTTACCCACTTCAGAAATCATCACGGGAAAATATCCTTATGAAAACTCTGTCCGTCCTCATCTCGTTGCTTTCCTCTCCCCTTGCCTTTGCTCTTGCCATTTGGCTCCTGGCCATGTCTTCCCCACGGCATCGGTTGGAAACACACGGTGATTGTCATACCTTTCCAGTACTTGGTGGTTCATCCCACTTAGTAAGTGGGTTATAACCCCAGTGATTTCAGTGGATTAACCCTACTTATCCCATGTAAATCACTGGGGTTATAACCCACTTACGAGCCGTGGGATGAGCCACCAAGTAACCATAGCTGCGAATCTCAAGTATCGATGCACAGTTGTTACATGCATTTAAGTTCTCCAAGCCCATCTGTGCCTTGACATGATCTTTGAGCAAAAAACATTAAAACTTGCAAGGTAGATACACATGTTTTTACACATCTATTCTTTGCATTCATATTTATCGTTTTTGAGTCTTGCTGATACCCTGCTTAAAGGCAGAATGAACTACACATTTGGTGTAATATCCCTATATACAAACAACACAAGAGTGAAGTGTATGTCAAATAAGCACCAAGCCTGTTACATGGTTCACACTCCATGTACACTATCTCCCAATATGTGTATTATTTTTCCAGTCAATATGTTTGTTTCATTCTTGCTAATCTTGGACACCCTGCAAGCAAGTATTTGTTCTATATAGCTGGTCAGGCTAATGTACCCCCATGTATAGCAAACACATAAAAGTACTACACACCACATACAAGGTTGAGTTTATCTCCCATTCTGGTTGTGTAGTTTTACTCACTCTGGTTGGGAAAAACCATGGTCTCCAGCTACTATATGGCTATTGTGATGGTTTCATTATATGGTTTCATCATGTTTATTCTGTGCTCATATGAAACTAGACTAATTAAAGAAGAACACTGACCCATTTACCTACCAAAAGTATCCAAAAGTTGCTATAAATCACCCAAAACCCCTGATTGTTCATCACAAGTTGCTGCTAAATCACCCAAACATCTCCAAATCTAAAACTGATTAAACATGATTAAACATGCTTAAACATGATTAAACATGTTTAAACATGATTAAACATGATTAAACAAGATTAAACTATATCAAAGTATATTAAACTACAGTAATGGTATTGACCAAACTGAAGCCAGATTTCTTCAATGGCAAAACATGTAGCTCCTCGGCTCGGGGTCCCTTCAGCAACTGCTCCTTTCGCCTTGGTTGACGCTGAAAGAGCGAAGCCACGAAGCCCTAAAAAGATGCCGAAATGTGTGCAACCAGGATGATAGTTCGATGATATGTATATCATCTGTATATCTTGATGATTTCTTGATGTATCTCATATTTCCAGGTTACTTCTCATAATTTCTCTATAATTTGGGATGGCTATTACGGGTAGGCGCAGGTGTAAGCCATTTATCAGATCATAATCTCGTTATCCTCTGGTTATTTAACATAGCTATGGAAAATTGCCCAGTTATAGATCATTTATGATGATGTACCTATTAAAAATGGTGATTTTCAATAGCTACTTATGTCAAATAACCACATTGTATATCATACATTTATCCCCAAATATGCCATGGTGAGGTCACATGGGATGAGTGGCTCGGGTAAGGTTAGGTATGGCTGACTCCGATGCCGAATCCAAACATGATGGGTATGTGAATCCGAATATGGGCCACTTGCACGAGTTTTGACCATGGGCCAAACGGTCTATGTAGATTTTACGACCGCTATGGGTTGGGGCATGGCTGCTCTGGCGTCACTGTCCCAGCCAAGACAAAGTTCTACGACCGCTATGGGTTTGTGATAATATCACATAGATGTACAATTAGTGTGTATCAGTGTATATCTAAATATGCAATGATATGAGTCATGAGTACTATCTACATGTATCTACAGAATCTATATCTCTATACATTACATTACACTACATTACACTACATTACACTACATTACACTACATTACATACTACACCGTACGAGTACCATACCATAACATCCTAGTGCATGGCTACTTGGTTCCCCACCAATGGTCAGGTCGAGGCCTGAAAAACTGGCCCCAGGTGCCCACACACAAAGAGCGCCTCCACAAAGGTCTCGACCTCCAAAAACATGTGTAAAGGTAATAAAACATGGAAAAAACGTATTTCCCAGTTGGGGTTATCGATTTTTTGGGGGTATAACATGGTACCCTGGGATTCTAACCCTTGGAATATCAAGCCTGGATCATGGATCATCGATGTCCAGCAGGGATGACCCAAAGGGCCCCAAAGCCATCAGATTTCAATTTTTACGTTACAATGTTATAGTATGTTCCAAATATATTACCCTCTGGTAAATTAACATAACTATGGAAAATCACCATTTGTCATGGGAAAATTCACTATAAATGATGACACTATTGATAATTACTGGTTGGTGGTGCAATAACCATCTTGAAACATATGAAAGTCAATGGGAAGGATGACATCCCATCTATTTATGGAAAAAATACTTTACTTCGTGTGATCCCCACCATGACATTTATACGGTTTGTTACTGGCAAATCTTCTGACATTCTATCTGGCATATCATCTGGCATTCTGTCTGACATATCTTCTGGCATTCTATCTGGCATTCTATCTGGCATATCTTCTGGCATTCTATCTGGCATATCTTCTGGCATATCTTCTGACATCCTATCTGGCAAATCTTCTGGCATTTTATCTGGCAAACATTCTGGCACTGTATCTGGCATTCTATCTGGCATATCTTCTGGCATTCTATCTGGCATATCTGTTGGCATTCTATCTGGCATATCTTCTGGCATTTTATCTGGCATATCTTCTGGCATATCTTCTGACATTCTATCTGGCATATCTTCTGGCATATCTTCTGACATTCTATCTGGCATTCAATCTGGCAAATCTTCTGGCGTTCTATCTGGCACACATTCTGGCACTTTATCTGGCATACCTTCTGGCACTTTATCTGGCATTCTATCTGGCATATCTTCTGGAATATCTTCTGACATTCTATCTGGCATTCTATCTGGCATATCTTCTGGCATATCTTCTGACATTCTATCTGGCATTCTATCTGGCAAATCTTCTGGCGTTCTGTCTGGCAAACATTCTGGCACTTTATCTGGCATACCTTCTGGCATCCTATCTGCCATTCTATCTGGCATATCTTCTGGCATTCTACCTGACATATCTTCTGGCATTCGATCTTCGATCTGGCATTCTATCTGGCATGTCTTCTGGCATACTATTTGGCATTCTATCTGGCATATCTTCTGTCATATCTTCTGACATCCTATCTTGCATTCTATCTGGCAAATCTTCTGGCATTCTATCTGGCATATCTCATGGCATTTTATCTGGTATATCTTTTGGCATTCTATCTGACATTCTATCTGGCATATCTTCTGGCATTCTATCTGGCCGTTGAGGTCCAGCGGTGCACACTGAGCTGGGCAGGTCCCAGGTTGAGGTCCAGCAGTGCACACTGAGCTGGGAAAGTCCCAGGTTGAGGTCCAGCGGTGCATACTGAGCTGGGCAGGTCCCACCAGGTTGAGGTCCAGCAGTGCACGCTGAGCTGGGAAGGTC